GGAAATATGACACGAATTGAGGAACAAACTTCTCAATAATTAAAGTATCTTATCACTATACCCATTTATAATATTATTATTTGTCTTCTGATGGATTTGCAAAATTTGAAGAAAAGTACGAATTCAGATAAAAATAGATATTTATTGCACAATTTACAATTAATTTTTTAAACATATACATATTATTTACATTTAATACACTTTATGATAATTTGATGCGAATTTTACAAAATCTATTCGTTTTATAGAACCATTTTTATATTCTAACATTTTTGAAGTTAACATATTTAATCTTCGTCTAACAATTTTGTTGTTACATTTAACAGACTCCTTAAGGCTGTTAATACGAATATAAGTATCTGTTTGAAAATTGTTCAAAACATTTACAAATAAATACAATGAAGGGTGCATTGAATAGAAATTTGAATTAAATCTAGAATGAAAGGACTCGCATGCATTGGTAGAATTTTCTGTAGTTACAACAGCTTCAGCCCAAATTGTTGGTGGAAATAAAGAATTTTCTTCAATATAATTCTTTACTAAATAGTCAGCTAAATTTACCACAGCTTTATGCATATTATCGGGCTGAAATTCAGCCAAATCCAAAGCAAAACATTCTCCAACTTCTTCGGGTTTTAAAAAAGACAATCCAAAAAGATACCTCATCCATTTTCCAGTTGCACTTTTTTCATCTTGGTATTCTTTAGCCAATCCCAAACTCTGTATTTTTCTGTACCAAGCTTGGCCAAGATGAAACCTACATCCAATGATCTTTGTGGTGGGCCATTGCGCAGAAATTGCTTTGTGAATAGCTAGTTCATAATCAGCTACAATAATTTTTGGAACAAATATTAAATTAGCATTACAACACTTTTCTTTAAGAATAACGAAAAGTCTTTCGTATGTTAAACGAAGTTTATTCGGTAATAAACAAAAAGCTACTGGTATATAATGGCCGCCGTTTTCTACGATATGAAGTGTGAACAACTGTAAAAAATGTTTCGTACAATATCGAAATGTTCCATCAAGATACACTTTGTCACTACTACACAAAAATTTTAAATTAGTATAGCACGAAAATACTACAATATTGTTAATATTATCAGTGGCCAAGAGAAATGGTTCATTTTTAATTGTTGTCAAATTTAATGTTGGTAAAATATCGAAAACATCTGATACATTGCTTGGTAAACGTGCTTGGACTTGACGTCTTTTGTAATACATATTATTTCTTATGTATGTAATGTCTTTTCTTGTCAAAGCGTCCATTGTATCACTGTTTTCCCTTAAAACAGAGTGTATGATTTTCGATGGCCGTTCTGTGATATCTTCTACAGCTTTCCGTTTGCTTGCTACACTCAAAATTTGTCTATTTAATTTCTTTATGTCATTTTCATGATTGTGCACTGTTTCTTTTCGAGAAATTATATTATCTGAACCTAGCGTAAATACTTTTGCGTTACATTTACTTACAGTACAAGTCCAAAACTTTTCACCACTTTTAAGAACCTTTTTTTCACGAAACTTATAATCATCCCACACAAGTAACGACTTTCCCTTTTCACTTAAGACATTTTTACAAGACTGCTCAAAATAAACTAAACACAAAACACTCACTTCAAATATATATTAGAATTTCGAAAGTAAAGTAATAAAATGCTCGTTAACGCAATGAATCATCATTACAACCTTAATCCCTAATCCGCAATTCGGTGCACTTACTATAATTATTTCTCAGAAGCCTGGTCCTCAATTCGTGTCATATTTTCAGGTACAAAAATAAACCCTTCTTAATATTTTCATTTTGGTTCTCAATTCGTGTCTGCCCTAATTTATATGTATAATATTATTTTAAGATGTCCAGAGCTATTAGTGAAGTAATTTAGCTATACAAACGAACAAGAACTCTAAAACTATTCGTAAACTATCGATTTACCGTCTGCTTGTTTAATTTAATTTATTATATTGGGATGCTAGCTTCCGGCCGTTAGCATCTCATTTTTTAAATTGCAGTTTTCGGTAGTAAATTTCGACAGAATTATTGATAAAAAGTATCAGGAGCTATAGAACTATATCGGATGCCATAAGAACTCTGCTTAAAATATGAGATGCTGAGATTTGAGATGCTAACTTCACACACGTCAGCCTCATCACAATTTTACTTTGAGAGCTCTAAAAAACTTCAAAGAAAATACTTGATTGTTCAATTTTCCAAGCACGACAGTCATAAATGTGTTCAAACAAGAATTCAGTGATAAAACGGTTAATAAATAGTATGGAAGTCAATCTTGTGCAATAAATAACATTAATTTCGAATAGATCATCGATTATTTGTTGAAACTTAATTAAAACTTTTGTACGTGCGTCTTTAATTAGCCTTGAATACGCCTCTGCTTAGAGGTCTTCTTAAGCCCCGCCCAGTGGTGTAATTTTCAATAATACGTATCTTAGGGCACCTCCATTATAATTCATCCATGTGCACCCTACCTTGTTTTTGCATAATATTGAGTTGGACAAGAGTTGGACTCATTGATCTGGCAACGTAAGGATACGTCATATGTAATTATTTTTGATATACAAAATTGGGACCGGTAGGCGTGGCTTTTGCACTCACTAAAATGGCGGAAGAGCAGAACCGGATTTACAAGTTTTTATTGTACTATTTCTGGTTAAGTATCATTATTTGAACTATAAAAAATGAATTTCCTTTATTATAGATAAAAACTTACACATTGACTTAAAAGGTGGTGGAAGGCCAATGTTACAAAAGAAGGGGGTCTAAAGATTTAAATATACCCGGTTTTCAGCCGAGAGGTGCTGAATAAAGTAAATGAAAGAAATAAAATATAACTGATTTAATTATCACTCAAGTGTGACTATTAAGTGCTGGAGAATATATTATTTGCAAAATTGCAACTAATCAATGACCATGATATAACTAACTTGGGGCCGATTCCACCATTTTAATCTTCAATTAGTTTGTTTAAACTTTAACACAATGGTGGAAATAATCCTAAAGCGTTAAAATCATTCACAGAAAAAATAAATAGCATATTTTTGGTTCACATAAGCGACAAAAATAAAACGAATTCGATTTATTGGATCAGTCGTAACACTTTTTCACTAGGGCACATACGTAGCACAGAACACTTACTCTATACGTAGCCCAATGCTACTTTAATTAACAGCTTCCTCGAAATTAAGAACAAATGTTCATACACTAAAAGTTCGATAATCCGATACGAAACTTAATGCAAGGCTTGAGGAAAATGGCTAATAAACAATCTCTGTGTAGGTAGATGCACTTTTGAGGAAATCAAAATGTGGATTAATTTTACTTGGTCTTGGTACTCTTGTAGATTCAGATTGAAAGATGTGTATCTTCATGCAAGACATTCAGTAAATCAGCGAAGCAGGTAGGTACAGGTGCACTTCTAACAAATGTAAAATATGGAGTGATCTTACTTGAGACTTATAGATCCAGTAAGGATAATATGGTGGTTGGTTTGAGCTGGGCTTCTCACTATCTGCAGAGATTATGACTACTTATGTAAAGGCCTACCATAGTAACATCACCACAAGAGTGTCTGTCCAATTTAATTGGTCTATGCACAATAATCATGCATGTATGATTGAAAGTCAGACAAAGAATGTGAAGATAAAGTTAAAGTCTCAATCATAGTTAAAGTCACAGATGAAGTTAAAAGTAAGAGTTGAAATTGTAGGCTGGTGATAAAGGGAGGCCAACATCTAGGTAATAAATGTTTGTCGAGTTAAGAAAAGTATCATCTGCTGTAAGCTAACTAAGGTAAAAACCAGAATATTTCATAATACACAATTTCTTCGCTAGGTAAAATAAGAAATAAATATGTGAGAGTACTTCCCAAGTGTTTTTCAAAAGCTCTAAGAACAAAATTGATGAAAATGGCCTAAGCCAAGTTCAAATTCTAAAACTTGAATATTAAAGATAAGTAACTTACTGTAAAATAAGTAAAACCTCATTGTTGATTAAATGGTTGAATAATTCATTACCTAGAGGTAGAATAGTGACCAAAGTTTAACAGAAAAAGCCACTAGAAAAGGTGAACAAAACAGAATGGGGCATATAAAAGTCAAGCAAATATTATAAATGCAAATAATGTGTGCTGTGATTAAATGAAAGTGTACAAAGAATAAAGTTTTAATATTTTCTTATCCATATCTATGAGTGATATCTGAAACACATTATAGGCAATTAAAAAGATCTATTAATATTGTTCTAAATTAACTATAATAAAACAAACAATACTCATGCATACACAAAACACGAAGCTCTACTTTTCAATCAGCTGTAGAACTAATATAAATAAAACTGGTGGATGCAGGAAATGTAGGTTATATTTAAATAGAAATAAGAAAATAAAATGCCTATAAATTTGATAAACAACATGGCGTACAATTAATGTACTTTTCAAGAAAATGCTTGGAACATATACAGCTGAATTTAGAAGGTTCCCAATTATGCCTGTTGACAAAATATTCACGCGCTGCGTTGTTCAGGTTTTTCTGGAAATCTATAAATATTATTTCATATGAAAAAGTATTATTCCAATATAGGTAGGCCCAAAAGTTGATAGATGATATTTTTTTGCATTTTTAAAAGCATACTTTTACACATTTTATACAAACATGTCATAATTCTGTCCTGTATAATATTTATAATTGTGATACTAACCTAAGAAACGTTATTCCAGTCGATTTTTTACAAAAACGACTATCGCTAGACCAGGAACATATAACACAACAAGGCATTATATACTTTATAAGTTTGTAACACTCAAAATTTGCTCAAATACAAATTAAATTCAAATTTATTAACACAAATGACACTAAAATATAACCTATAAAATTTGACAATTTGCACTCACAGTAATGGCGGACCGGTGCCACTTTCCGATTACGCATGTCGTATCCCTAGGTTGCCAGATCAATGGTTGGACTCAATTATGACAAACATACGTCAGGGTTGACAGTAATGACATTACTTCAAATAGTTTTAATATTATCAATAATTGCAAATTTTTCAGAATCCTGTGGTGTAAAAACCTTAAATGGACCAGAAGGTCAAATAAAATACAATTCTCCAGATTCGGAGCAAAAAAATTGTACTTGGATGATCTTACCGTTACCGAATACGATCACAACTTTAAGACTTTTGGATTTAAATCTTGATGAATGTTTGACTAAAGACCGATGTTGTTTGACTTTAACAAGTAATGAAGATATTTTATTCGCTTTATGCAATTCCGAGTTGAATCAACCTGTAGTAATTACTTCAAGAAACAATAATATAACTTTAGCTGTAGAATCTCTAGGAATTTATCTTAAAATATGGATAACTTTTACCAGTAGAAATAATCAAGAATGTTCTAATTTTGAATACCAATGTTTAGATAAAAGCGGTTGTTACAATTCTACACATTTGTGCACAGAGGATATCATTTGTATTGATCATTCGGATTATCTAGGTTGCAGTCCATGTAGATCTACGACTACAGTTTGTAATAGGTATTCAAATGAATGTTACGATCCCACGAAACGTTGTGATGGTATTTTGGACTGTACTTCAGGTGAAGACGAGCTGAACTGTAGTACCTTGTGCCCGCGGCTTATCAAGTGTCCTTTAGAAAACAAGTGTTTTAATTTATCTCAAATTTGTGACTTTACTTATGATTGTTTAGACGGTTTTGATGAGAAAGATTGTTCGCAAAAAGATCTTGGCTTGAAAAGCCTTGCATTTACAGCCATGTTTCTTTTATGTTCAATTGGTTGTACTTTATTTGTTTGTATGATATTTCGATGGATAATTTTAAAAAGGGATATGGATAGATTTTTACAAAACAGTCCTGAATTTCCTTTACAACCATTCGAAGGACCAGGTGCTCCCAATTCGGAATCTAGACCAGACGAATCATTAGATTCTGAATTTAGACAAGGAGGTGAGATCTTTGAACATTACATGGTAGCAATAAGAAGAAAAGAAAGACGTGACAGGTTCATACAGGCAGGAACCGGTATTGTTCCTAAATATTCGCATCTAGACCTCGACGGAGATAATGAACTTATAGTACTAGCTTCATTAAACGTACCTACAGACATGTGTATAGGTTTAAACATATCAGATTCATCCAGGGATACCCTATTAGCAATGTCGGATCGAGCTTCAACACCCTCATCTTGCGGTGACTATTCTGAAACTTATTCCCAAAGAGTGAATTCGAAATTTTTGAATGTTCGTCAAGCATATGGAGCTTCAGTTTCAATGCCCAGCACAAGTATAGGCTGTGGAGATATGTTGCCGACGAAAGAAGCAAATTTTCAAGCTAGAAGGCGAAGACGGTCAAAATCTTCTAGTTACAGTGGGACAAGTGCGGATCGCGAAGTTAGAAAATGTACTACAACCGTTATTATAGAAAAAGATGGTGTTACCAAAAAGTATTCAGCACCAATCAAAAGGGTAGCTTGGCTCTCTCCACCAAGACAAATGTGTTGTTCTGATGAACTACATGAAGTTAAAGTTGAGGAACCGGTAGCCAGGGATAGTGCAATGTGGGTTGATGTTGAAGATCTACAATTCAGACACACAAATAGAAGGTTATTGCCACGTAGTCAAAGAACCCTTAAAAATCCTAGAACTAAAACTCCTAGAAGCTCTAAAACTTCCAGAACTCCTAGGACCCCTAAAACTCCTACTAGTAGGAAAAGATTTGGCTATTTGTGTGGTAGTAAAGTGAGCAAAAAAAATAACAGTTGGTTTTAAGTATAATTTAAATAACTATATTCTATAAAAAAATATTGTTAATGTTTTTATTGTAACAAAAAGTTAATATTGGTTGTCATGAATCTTTAAATCACTTACCTTTTCTAATCTAGATTTGTGTTAAGACTCACAGCCCCTGAAAAAAATAAATAAATTTTAAAAATCAATAAAACACTTTCACCATGTATACGAAAAGCTCTAAATAATCCCAAATTTGCTCTTCGTAAGTAATATATTATATAAAAGCATTTTTAGCTACATCGGATTACAAATTATGGGGAAACTTTTCTCATTAGGGTTAAAACTTTTCGTGATAAATCGGAAAATTCCCCCTTGTAAAAAGCGTTATGACCCTTTCAGACAAGTTCGAGGATCAAACGCAGTGGTGTAGGAAGGGTAAAGTAACTGCGTGTTTACCAGTGAATAATATAATAAATTATTTTTAAACTTTTTAATTTAAAATGTATTTCTTAAATCGTTTATCCTTGACAGTCAAAATTATTAAGTCTAAAGAACTGAAATTTGAAACATTAATATAAAGAAAGGATTTTTGAAATTTCAACTTTAAGGGGGACTTTGTTTTTTGAAGTTTGACTATAAACTATAATTACAGCATTTGAGCATAACTTTAGAGTTTTTGGATTTTCACATTTTAATGAGGGGAAACGAAGGGGGGGGGGTGAAAGTTTGTATGAGAGTTTCGGTTTTTTTAGGTAGGAACTTAGAAATTGTAGCTACTCATCATGAATAAATAATGACGATTCAGGGTTTTTGGATTTTCACATTTTAAGAGGGGAAAATGGGAGTGAGTTTGTGCAAAAGTATCGATTGTTTAAATTAGGAACTTCAAAAATAGTATTACTTGATTAAATGTTTTTTGTATATAGCAAAAAAACTTATACTTGTAAGTAAACCCAACGGTACGCAGCTTGGGTGCGGGGGGAAGCAGGACTATGGAGTGAACAACAACCGAAACTGGACGATTCTCAACTAAAGTTGGACCCGGTAGATGGCGCTGTTGTCGAGATCCAGATCTAGGGACAGGACGTCTGCCCAACAAGTCTGCTAATATGTTATATATACAGTGTGATAATTTAAAAACTTACAATGGGCTATATATCACAAACGAAAGATGATATAAAAAAATACTTAAAACCTTTTCTAGGATAGGAAGGAGATACTAAAATAACATAAAAGAGAACTCACCTCCATCAAACCTCTAGGCTCCACTTACCCCAACTAAAAAAGTTTGAATATCAATCCCCTACTTGCGATACATCATTTAAAAGCTTATAAAAAAATGCTCTCCTATGATATAAATAAGAGGTAAAAATGATATTTATACCCAAACCTGGAAGGATGGATTACACTGTCCCAAAAACATACCGACCAATTAGTCTGAAGACAATGAAAAGGCTTTGCGAAAGGTACATAAGGGATGCGGTGATTACAACATCACTACACCCAAACCAACATGCAGGCAGATTTACTGATTCAGCCCTTCATCTAGTTGCTGGCCGGATAGAAAGATCCCGGGACAATAAGGAGTCCGCCTTGGGTGTTTTCATAGACATAGAAGGTGCTATTGATAAAACCACCTTCCAAAGATAATACACTCACTAACCAACAGGAATGTTCCACAAATGGTTAGTGGGTGGATACATAACATGCTCTCAAAGCGAGCAGTAAACATAAGTGTAGAAGATGTGAATATAAGAGGCTTGGTTACGAAGGGATCTATATCATGGGGCTGTCAGAATCCGCACTCTGCAGAGGGTGCGAACAAGAAGATGAAACCATCGAGCATATCCTTTACGATTGCTCGACGCTTTCATTTATTAGAAGATTTGTGTTCGGCGAGTATCGGCTAATACCGGCCGATATAAGAGAAGTACCTCTTGGCGACGTTGTCAACTACATTAAATCTGTAGGCTGGCTCACGAGCTAGGAGGTGCCTATCATCTTAGGAGGATGCACATAGGTGCCGTGGGGGTAACCCATCCTCCACACGTTACAGATACAGATAGGAAGGAGATACTAAAATACCATAAAATAGGACTCACCTCCATCAACCCCCTAGACCGCACTTACCCCAACTAATAAAGTTTGAATATTAAAACCCTACTTGTGATACATCATTGAAAAGCTTATAAAAAATGCTCTCCAATGGTATAAATGATAATTACCAAATTAATATCTTAACAATTTTAAAAACAAACATACCCTACTTGTTTGTGATGCAATGTTGAAAAGCGCTAGTGGCCAATAAAACTTTATTTTCAATGATAAGTCTCCGTACTTTTTGTTGTTAAATAAAAACTTTAATATATAGCCTATTGTAAGTTTTTAAATTGTCACACCGTATGTATACTGGGAAAACGAAACATGTATTTTTGTTTCTGTTTAAATAATACACACCAAAGCAAAATACTCTATGGCGGTGGATATTTAACCAAGAGTAATCAATAAATGAAATAAAACACATTATTTTTATGTAGCATCATTGTCTACTATTCCCATAATGCAGGATAGGATTTTAATCGAAGCAACGACAGCTTTGAACACTGAACACATTCGATATTGGGTAATTTGAACTTTTCATAGCTCAAAGCAATGGTACTTAAGAACGTTATAACGTTGAAAAATAAAATTTAAAAAATCTATTTCCTCCTCCACTCTTCAATTATTTTAATTGTATAGAGTGTTTGTTTATACTTGGCCAGGGGCGGTTTCTCCATTGGTTCATTTGTGCAGTGAACATCCAGTTAAATTTCATAAAAACATTTTTTTAAAATTACATAAATATATAAATTTAATTTTAATATTTTTATTTTCATACGTGTTAAACAGAGATAACCAGGAGATGTAACTATTAACAAATATCGTGCGGCCGTGAATAAGACATATTCTAAGGGACACAGTAGGGTATAATCACAATATATTGTGGGTATAATATCCGCTGTTGTCATTGTTAGTAAAGTGTATGTATTAAAATATTCGCTCAAGAAAACGATTCACCTCCCACTCTTTTGTCACATAGCTGAATTTTTCACAGATGAAAGGTCATGATAAGGTAACCCTTTTTCCGGAGTTAATACAAAATTAGACTGTGCAGAAGGGCACTATCATCAAAAATCCAGATATTGATACCACCGAATAGAGAAAAAAATACTAATTTTTTGGTCAAATGCACAATAAAATCTTTGTAGGGAGTAATTGTTTATACTTATTTAAAAAAAATCATTTGCATTAGCACTTACGGCCGAAAAAAAATATAAACATAAATATCTTGGTTTTAGCCCTTCAAAAATTTAGTTAAAAAGTCGTCTTTTTTAAATATACCACTCATTTAACAAAAAACGAAGGCCTAAATGAAAAAAAAACATTCTTTATAAAATTTTTGCTTATGTGTTGAGAAGGTAACAGAGTAAACACTATATTTTTTGCTTTTGAATTAACAAAGATATAACAATAAACGATGAGAGATGTCATAGGTTTATGCTGTAATTAATTCTCACCGTCAAATTTATCGACTCTCAGTGTATCTTTCTCTTCACCTTCAAACGTAGCATAGCTCTGTTTCTCTCTACGTGCGGGCTGATGTATCACATTATTGATATGGTAGGATTTTTCATTTTTTTTATTATAAAACTTCTTGTTGTGATCCATAGGGCAATGTGTCATATTGTTATCTGTTTTTACTAAAGAATTAATAAGTGTATGTATTATATATTAAATTACCTAATAAATTGGGAAAAAATATAGACATTTTTGCATCTTTATTTTATCTACATTCATCCTGTTGCAGCTAAATATATTTGGGTAAGTTATAAGTTTTCGTTTAAAATTTTAATTACGGATTTGTTGCTGCAAGTAGCAGAGACAAAAATTATATCAAAATAGGAAAGCCCAAAAGTTGCATATCATTTAAAGAATATGCTCATATATTTGTAAACAATATTTTTAGAAATAAATTTAATGCTCAAATGATAGATTATAAAGGACATTCTATCAAAAATACAACACGTCAAAAGAGAGGATTTCAGAAATAAATTGATATAGAAATTGACCGACCCAATATTCCACTTCCGCAACAATAGAACTTGTTTATTCATTAGATATTTAACAAAAGACGATTAACACATTTTCTGCCAGAGCAACTTCTTCAAAACTCCATTCAGCAAAAGCATATTCAATTTCAATAAATATGGAAAGAATTTTGAACCATCAAAAGACGATTTTTTTAAATTCAAATCACGAAGACGCTAATAATCGTATCTCATTGCACATATTGTCAGCCAAAAATTCGGTGCATTCACGCTGCATTATTTATTGCAACGATACAGATGTCTTATTAATTTATTTTAAGAAGTTTTTGACTAAAGATATATGGTTCAGAACAGGGCGAGGAGACTCAAGACGATTTCTAGCAGTACATTATTTAAATTTGGATGAAAACCTTCTAAAAAATATGCCTGCTTTTCATTCTGACCGGTTGTGATACAACCATTTAATTGTCCGGCATTGGGAACAAAACCTGTTGGAAAACCTACCTTGAAAACCATTACTTTTTGGATGGATTTGGCACTGATCAGTACTCTGAAAACATATTCTCTAATCTTGAAAGAATTTTCCTAAAAATGTATTCAAAACTGCCAATGTTACTTTCAATAACATTTTGAGGGGATTATTGACCTCTTCAAAAACCATCGCTAAATTACCACCGACTGAAGACGCCCTAAGACTACATTGTTTAAGATGTTTTTACCAGCTAAATATTTGGCTAACCTCTTTAAACCCAGATGCAGCTTCCTAATGTTGAAGAGTATGGATGGAAAGTAGATCAAGATGGAAGTCTGATACCCACTTTTAAGACTCTGCCCGACCTGCCACCAGACATAACAGAACTTACATCATGCAAATGCAAAAAACATACTATACAATATTCTAACAATAATATTCTGTTCTAGACTGTGGAAGCAAAATTTGCAAATGCAGGAAAAAAAATATTTACTGTATCGGTTCCTGCACCTGTATGGCACAGAAAAACTGCAGAAATAGTTTGACCACAGCCGCTAATGTTTTGGAAAATGTTGATTCGTGTGGTGAATCTGATTCTGATT